GTAATATATATATATCCACCATTATACAAACTGTGAAAGTGCACACATTAGCAAAATGGTGACTATATACGACTACAAACGTCGCTCAGAGGGCTTTTGCAATTGTCATAGACCTACAAGGCTGATACTCGCCGCTGAAAAGTTTACAGTAGCCAAGTGTTCTTGTAGGATACTGCACGAATATTTATATATGTATGTTTATAAGAAAGGAACCGTGTTCCGACAAACTTACCCTCTCTTTAAATCCTGGGCGATGAGATCTCGACGCTCCACAGTGGGCCAAGTGCCTCTGCTAGCGGAATTTTAATGATAACTGAGCCACAAGGCAAAAAGACGTGTCCTAGAGACTGACATTCCACCTATAGAGTGTAATAGACTTAAGAATTGGCCGTAGCTGGCTCTCATTTTGGACATTTTGACACCACAGGGACTTACACATATGACAAATACTAACATTAACATGAATATGATTGAATCACATTAGTTACAGCCCAACGAAGACAGTAAGGCGTTTAAAAATCATTACTTCAAAAGCAATTTAACAGAAATATATTCTTAGGCTGCCTCATTGGCCACTGTGCGCTCCGGATCCTGGGCTTTGGGAAAATATTATATTGGATATATATATATAAATACACGTGCACCAAAATACGGCTGTTCCTAAGTATACCAACTCACTTAAACACAATATGCATATATATATATTATGCCAGAGGCATGCGACTTCTTTAACGACTGGTGGAGAGATTAGTCCTCTCTAATTGTTCATCATGATTCGCACTTTGTCTATTGATTCGGTTGGTTTAAATGTATTTCAATGAATGCTTCCAATTTGTTTTTTTATTTTCACTTGTTATCCAATTGTTTATTTATTTATTTATATAATGCTAACACGTAATTATAAACTAAGTGCTAACAATGGACAAGAGCTATAGCAGCTATAGGCCTTCAGCTCTTCTGGTTATGTATCATTTCATTTTGTTTTCTTTTGTCTATTTAAATATAGCTTATTTTCTATATGGTTAGATATTTACAATGTTTTATTCTTATGCTTACAATTGATTTTATTTTTAATTAATTTAAATTATATTTTATTAATAATTTTAGATTTGATCAGGAAGTTTGTGATGATGTTGAAGTTGTCAATTGTGGGGTTAGCTATAAATAGGATGGGATCAAGGTTGTGGAAGGATTGAGAACGTTATCCAGTTGTATTACTTGAGGATATTGGTCTTTGGTAATGCATGAGTTCACTTTGGCTTTTGTTGGCTCGACTAACACATTTATATTGCATCACTACTTTCTCCGACGTATGATATTGTTCGCTACGCCTCTAAACGGATGGTTCCTACAGCTGAACAAAGCATGGGATCACGGATACTGCGTCCACATCACAGTATGTCGGATATCGTCCTTATTGTTGATCCTATCCACGTTCTTTGATGACAATGGCGGCGCTGGTTCGACACATAAGATTCTTTCGAGCTGCAATTGTGTTATTCTCAAGGGCTGTTGGATATGGTGGCTGGTCCTGGTGGCAGAAGACTCCGTGGACGACTAACCCCTGGGAAGGTCGCCTTCCCTCGGAGCTGCCGGCTTCCGTCAGCAAGACACCCAAATGGGTGTCCCTTTCTTTCTCCAGCACAATGTGGAAATTATACAACACTGTCATGAAAATCCTGTAATTTTTTTTTTACAAATATTTTGCAATTTATGTTTATGCCAACTATTGTTTGCTTATCGCGTTTTATGCATTAAATGTATACACAACTAATGCGCATAGTTAAAACCTAGCAGGGGCAACGCAGGCAACACTAAGTCGATTGTTTGAAAACTAAAAAATTTATTTTTTTTTTGTCAAATCCTGATGCAAGTGTTTACTTATTTATTGAATAGTATAGGTGGCTCGGTGGCTTGGAAAGTCTTCGGAACAAAACATTGCTAATAAGGACCATCGGAATGCGTCACTGCGAAAGGAAACAGCTACTGAAGCTGGATCTAATGGGATTTGACTTTTCAGTGCCGTTCCATATTATTGAACCGCTATCCAAAGAGCAATATACTATCTTTAAAAAAGGTAAGCACCTCAAAAAGACGATAAAAGAGACAGCAAAACTGTACTGGAGTTGAAAAATTTAATTTCTTCAAAGGAGCAAGGAAGCAGTTAATGATGCTGTTCCATTAACTGAATTGTCATTTCGAGAACCACAATAACAATTATATTTCTCTGGTAAATTGTACGGATATAATTCTAATTCTTTATATGTCTTCTTAACGTATCTTTAACATAACTGTAGCTGTTGGGCATTTTAATATTGTATTCTCAATTTTTGGAGCTATTTTTTCTATAACTTACCAATATTAAGAGTTTTTCGCAATATGCAAACTAAAATTAGATACTAATTAATTTATTACCTAATGCATATCGAAGTAATTGCGCACAGCTTGATTATAATGTTAGAAAGCCAAACACAAGGTTTGTAGTTACTCACATTAATGCAAAATTATATATATATATAAAATTATATATATTTTGATATTATCTGCCTGTCAGAATCCTGGTTAACAGCAGAAATTAGTGAAGTACCTATTGTATCGTGTGTTTTACCGTGTTAGTCATGGGGTGGTGTTAGTGTTCAATGTTAAGTGTCATAATCACTTGTAAACATCCAAAGGAAAGCCTTATTGAGTATCTATTTGTTAAAGAATCGTACAAATATGTCTTAAAAGGCTCTTGTTGGATTTATTTACAGACCAAACCGTAACACAAATTACAACAACCTGTTTAGATATAATGTCGGACGTCGCTATGTTTTATACTGACGTTTTAGTTACAGGAGAGATCAACAGCCACATATTCAAAAGCTTTTTTGATTAACAAACTTAGTTTGGGCACCCAAATGTCCAATTTATGTACCCACACATAGCTCAAATAGGCACTTCAAGAATTTTGACTTTCATCAACTTGAAATTGAATTCATGGAATGTGACTGGAATTCCATCTATACGTTTACAAACATTGAGGACAAATTATGCGTTTTTAATATAAAGCAAGTTCTACTGAAGTGTAAAGCCACCCGATTTAAGCAAAAGCCTTGGTGTAATAATAATAAAATAAAATTAGTAAACTTACGCAACTTATAGAGCTCATAGAATATGGAAGCGATTAAAACATCCAATACGCAAAATTATTTCACATATACTACGAACATGGGCATCCTCTAGAATTTCAGCAGTGAATTTCTCTTCCACAAAAAAACCTGTGCTGAACTACGTAACTTATGCACTGGAAAGTCAAGTCGGCACAGTAATGTTAATGATTTATGTGTAAAATGGCATCTCTTTCCATTTCGAAATGCACAAGTGCCGCATACAGACTTGGGAGTCCGTGGTGTGTATACATTTTTCGCTTTTAAATCAAAATTCCATTGAAAAGCGCATAATGAAGATTATTATATTACTGGCTTTTTTCCGCTGAATATATAACTTCCGCATACACAACAAATTTAATTAATCGAGTGCTTGCACATTTTAGTCCTGTAACAAGTTAATTAATGCGTAAAAATTGACCTCAGTATCATGCAATATTGCATAAATTGAATACTTTTACTAAACCAGCGAAAGTGCTTTTGATTTGCCACAGATTTTTGAAAAGTTGGTCTTATCTTTATAATCACTCGGTATTTAATAGAAGAGGCAGAGCGTCCTAACTAAGGCGTTCTATCTTCTATTTATGTAAAAATCGGAATCCAAGCTTGAAAAAGATTCTTCGATCCTTTTAGAAATGGCAGTGAGCCGAACATCCCTCTGATCGTCTTCGGGGAGTTGCTTTTATTTAAGTCCGCTCCCGCTTACAACACTCTCCTTTCAGTACAAACTCAACCGTAAAATGTCAGGCTTCTGCAATTACCTTAGACACGGGCTGACAAGACATCGTGATTTTTTTTTTATTTACTGCCCTCCATTGTTTGCATGGTTTGCTAAAGAATTTTCAATTTTCAAACTGATTTATAATACTTTTTGTGTCTGGAATAACCTGGCCCTTAAGATTAAGTCTGCCGCATCTACTGCTAAGGGTAATCACTCTGCTGTACCGCAGCTATATGACGGAATCATGAAACAACGGCTCTAGTTAGGCAGAAGAAGTTCTTACGTCGGCGGTGATTCTCTTTTAAGAAAAGGTCTTTACGAAGCGAAGTCGGACTTTTAACTTAGTAAACTTAGTGATGCTGATCGGGGCTTTGAGCTGTGGAAATGCATTCGTGGCCCTAATCGACAGCCTCTTCAGAAGATTCCGATGCTTCGATCAGACGGTCCTTGGGAAAATAAAAACGTTGAGTATCTAACCAATTTGCTAATTTTTTGGAAGAAAGATTTCAGAAAACAACACTTGTTTATGACAGTATTGACGGGAATGTGGCTAAAGGTCTGCCATTGCCAGCTATATCTTTCTTAACGCGTAGATTTAATGCTGTAGTTGTTCTTTCATATTATCCAGAGCAGTGGAAGCATGGGAATGTTTTTCTAATTCCTAAAAAGCCATATTTTGCCCACACTTACCAAGATTTTTAGCGAATCTTTATAAAAATGATTTTTAGTGTAGATCTATTCGGGAGTTCGGGAGTCTTCATAGCGCTGCCGTCAAAGGCATCGGGTGATCAACCATATCCTTAAAGCCTTTGAGAGGAAATAGTATTGTTACGGAGTATTTTTAGACGTTAATCAAGCCTTAGTTCATGTCTGGCTGTGACTTAGTCTTTAAGCTGAAGCCTATTCTTTCCCCGACATTCTGTGATCTCCTCCGCCTGGAAATTTTTATATACATTTTTGTTTCGTTGCCTTTTTGATTAATGTAAGTTTTTGGCAAAAGAATGATAAAATGAAAACATAATATTATTAAGGTGCAAGAATCTAACATATATTAGGTTGTTTTTTCTGACTAAAGCAACTAATGTATTTATAGTATTGTGATACAGTTTTGTAAAATTAACCCAACCAAATTTTGTTGTAAATCACTCAACATTTTTTTTGTCATTATCCTTTCCAACCTCGGGATATTCCAATTTAATTCCAGGCTCACATGTAAAGATGGGGCAGCAATAAGGAAACGAAGCCGTTTTATTTGTCCTCTCAGTGTCCAATTTACATTTTTCATTCGCCAAAGGCAATGGGCCACAGTCTTCTACGAGTTCCAAAAGCCTGAGAACAAGTATTATAAATTTTTAGTTAAAACGTATGTGGTATCGTTACAGTTACAAAACATAAACTTTCTTTAAAATATTACTTCGTTTCATTTTCCTCATTTTGTACGCAAGTAGATCGACCGCAGAAAGGAGTTAAGTCCCAGGATTTCCCTGGCTCAACAGTAGCACATCGAGTGGAAGCAAAGCACATCGCCGGAAAATCTAAAAGTTTTGTAAGTTTTTATAATGTTCATATAATACAATCTGTGAAGGGTATTATTTTATATAGTTTTGTCCGTCATTTACAATCTATAGTCGGCTTTCCCGACTAAAAGAGTTATCACCAGATACATCGGTCATTGCGATCGGAATTCATTCATACTTCAATATTAGTTCTATCAGAATATAGCAATAAGCCATGTCGGAATCACCCTATATATATAACTAAATAAAGTTTACGCTAACGTATAGAAAAGAACAAGGTACTGTAAAATTTTAAGTTTTTCAGCTTTTTTAAATGCTATTTTGATATATTTTTTTAGTAGAGCAGAGGAGAAGAACCATCGATGTTCACATTTGTATATACTTTACATTTTGCACTTCTCACTTTTATCTACTTGCTGTTACTGGCTGTTTTGCTAGATACGAGCGTGAGGTCATTACTAATAATCTGATTTCAACAATTAAAAATGATTCAAATATAATTTGCATGATATGATATGCCATTCATTTGCTTTGCATGATATGTTAAACCATTCATTTTGTAGGTGGCGGTCTTAAATCCGTCGGCAGATTGCTTCGTGGAAATGTTCTGTAAGGTAAATTGGAAAAGTAAACCCTAGTTTTCACATCGATAAAGCCGCGAGCATAAGAGTGAGGCAAATACGCGACTACCGCTTTTCTTCGGGTTTGTTTTTCAGCGCGGCAATACCAGAAAGAATTCCTGGTTTAGTGAGTGAATTTCGATGAGCTCAGTTAGCCGAGGCCCAAAGAATAAGAAATTTCGGTGTGGAATTTAAAAATTAACAAGAAAGAACGCTGTAGTCGAGTACCTCGACTATCAGATACCCGTTACTCAGCTAAAGGGACCAAAGAGATATGGAGATATGCAAGCAGCAAAGCGAGATTAAGATGCGCCACCTACCGGCGGTAGACAGATTTAAGCGTTATGGGCGTTAGAATGGCCGTGTCAAATTTTTTTTGGGTCAATCGATAGGTATTGATGGCAGCAATACATTTCCGTTAAAATATTTTTTTTATTTCTAGCATCAAAACTGTAAGAGCCACAGTTTTGGGCGGTTTGTGGGCGTTAGAGTGGGCGTAGCACGCTGCTGAAAGAAGCTCAGGAATCTGCACGCCAAATCTCAATAGCCTAGCTCTTATAGTTCCCGAGATCTCAGCGTTCATCCGGACAGACGGAAAGACGGACATGGCTAGATCGACTCGGTGTGATCCAAGTGATCCTGATCAAGAATATATATACTTTATGGGGTCGGAAACGATTCCTTCTGCCTGTTACATACTTTCCGACGAATCGAGTATACCCTTTTACTCTACGAGTAACGGGTATAAAAATGGATGAAAAATGAATGGGCTGTTGCCCATTATTGCGGGATTTCACCGACAGAAACCAATACTACGACAGGGCAAACCTGCAGAATAGTTGAAGAGGTGGAGGAGATCCACTAGAGAATCTCCGACGAGCTCTCCATTGAGGAACCACCGGACTCCACCTCCACCAGCTACTTGACGGCTAAAGCGGAGTTGGAGGACGCGCTGGCTTCTATAGGGAGGAGGAAATAAGGTCGCCCGTTAAGGGACAGCTGGAGGAGCCATCACCAGCCATTGCCAGGATGCTGGGCGACTTCCTGCAGCATCAACGGAACAACCCCGTTAAATCTATAAAGTTCGGATTTGACATTTAGATTCTTGAGCTTCTTGCGCAGCGGAAGTTTTTTCTTTAATACCCATTTTTTTTTAATACCCATCTACATGCCAAAATATATTTAAATTGTACCGTGCAATAAAAAGTTATACGCATATAAAGTGTCTCATCTTGGGAACAGTCGCTTTGCATATCTCCATCTCCCTCGCACTTCCCTTAATGAGTAACGGGTATGTATTAGTCGATGGCATCGACTTAGCGTTCTCTCTTGGTTTGGCTTAAAGTCACTTGTAAGTAACATCATTATTGTTTCCAGTCATAGAGTGAAACATACATATATCACTTTAAAGTCCATAGACTTGACTTGGTTGACTTAAAGTTGCTTTTTCAAGTTGAAGTAAGTGAAAGTTACAAGTTAACTTATGTTTTTACACTTCAAAGCTATCTCTTGCAGGGCTCTATTTACTAACCATCACGATTTTTCTATACAAATCACCGATAATTAAGCATTGATGAGTTCTTTGACCATGACTCATCGAATAGATGGGACGGATAATTTTTTGAGTTTCTTACATATGCATTTTTGCATGTGTGTATGTGTTTGTGTGTACCTATGTAAGCAAGGGAGTAAGAGGGACTCGATCTTGAATATAAAATATATTACAATAACATGTACTTGTTTGCTTAAATTAAATAATATCTTAGCCTGCAGAATAAAATAGAAATTATTCAATAAATCTAACGTATGCTCGTAAGTAGTAAATCTGATAATTTGTTTACTACATACCTCTCAGAACATCCGCAGGAATAAGACGTTTAAAAATTCGAATTTCACCAGCATTGACAGTTTCATCTTTTACAATTTTTTGTTCAGCCGCAATGCAAAATGGAGCTATTAGAGTTATGAGTAAAATGAGTAGCAAAATATCAAAATGAAAATGAAAACCCATTTTAAAGATCGTGATAAGTTGCGGCCTTTTTAAATTATCATTAAAACTAAAAAGAACTTTGTCACGAGTTATAAATACTAAAAATTAACACAACTGGAATCAAGCGCCTAACCAGTCTGCATGTAGCGAAAGTTAACAATAAATGAAAACCTCTGGTCAGACACACCTATACTTATGGGGAGTTCATACATATATGCAGCGACTACCTGAGTCAAAGCTTTTGTGCTGGATTGAATACGGCTTTGAAAGTTGTTACTTCAAAAACAAAAATCAGAGCCAAGCTTTGTGCTTTGGCCCGGTTTTATGAGCTCGACGTATCGTGACATAATTTTCAACACTCATATATGAGAGAATTGTACATATATACTTACTTATTTACTTTTAATGGATGACTGTAACACTTTTAATATATGTACAAAAATATATGTATCTATTGTCATGACTTTGTCTTTCGCTATTTACTAGCCTTGTTGCGTTATTGTGGTACGACAAAAAGAAGAAAATTAACTTCGGTGAGTAGAAGTTTGTATACCCTTGCACTGAAATCTATAAGACAATATAAGTACATTTTGCGTGATTTGTTCAAATATGTCCGACTAGGAAGCCCGTGCTTTTTTGAGCTAAGTGGGCTACATATGTAGGGGTCTTAAAAAATCCTTTTTTTCCTTTTTATAACCATTACTCGTATTAAGAAAAGTTTCCGACCCTATAAATCATTTATGGGACGTTTCATATAAACTCGTACCCCCTCGTTTTTTTTTGTAAAGTGCACAATACCACCTTGAGATCAAAGCACTCGTTTTCATTCACAATATTACCACTCTTTCGCCGAATATCCATGTAAGACAGTTTACACTAAAACTATTATATCTGGCGAACGGAGTTCACAACTTACATAAATCAAAAGCAGGTGGATTTGTCTTTACATGGATTATCACGAGAAAATATATAGCATATTTTAAGTCCAAAATAATGATTTTTCCCAGGTGCCATCGAGTTTCCGAATGTGCCACCCCAACTCTAAAGCACAAAATCCTCACAACATTTTAATTTTAACTGAAATGTATTGGTTTCGTCAATCCCCACTTTTGTCGCCGACTTATTTCTCAATTTCTATTTCCCTACACAAATCGGGCATTTCATTAAGAGGTTATGTTATGTATTCGCAGCTCGGAAATTAGTTTTAAAAATTAGTCTTACGGGAACGACCTGCAAGGGCATAGAAACTTCGGCTTGCGGGAGCTAGCTTCATTTCTTGTTTTTAAAAAACGTAAAGAAAGCTTACACAAGAAAAAATTATTTTCGAAAAAACACACAAACATACACATATTACCCAATACTATTCGCAAAAAAACTTCAGGCAAATTTAAAATGCGACCCAAAAAAGGCGTTCGGTTTGTAAAAGAACGGCCCATATACACTTTTGTAATATTAGTTTTTCTATTATTGTTAATGTTTTTATGTTGTTCCTGGCCCCTGAAGACGGACTCCGATGCGGGACAAAACTATTTTTGGCATGTAGATGGATATTATTAACTCAATTTACAAAAAAAATTAATGAAGTGAACTACAACTCGACAAACTTTGAAAATGTGGAATTTCTTAACAATTTAGTGACTGGAAGGAGTCTGTTGATATTATAAAAACTCAAAAAAATTCGACACAAACAGAGACATGAAGCATTTTGAAGTTACAATCAAAACAAACCAAACAAGACATATTTGAACAAAATCCATGGTAAAATATAATTATACCCGTTACTCGTAGAGTAAAAGGGTATACTAGATTCGTCGGAAAGTATGTAACAGGCAGAAGGAAGCGTTTCCGACCCCATAAAGTATATGTATTCTTGATCAGGATCACTAGCCGAGTCGATCTAGCCATGTCCGTCTGTCCGTATGAACGCTGAGATCTCGGAAACTATGAGAGTTACAATACTGGGATTAGGCACGCAGATTCCTGAGATTCCTGCGCAGCGCAAGTTTGTTTCAGTACAGTGCCACGCCCACTCTAACGCCCACAAACCGCCCAAAACTGTGGCTCCTACATTTTGATGCTAGATAGAAAATTTTAACTGAAATGTATTGTTCTCATCAATACCTATCGATTGACCCAAAAAAAAGTTTGCCACGCCCACTTTAACGCCCACAAACCGCGAAAACCTGTGACGCCCAAAATTTTCATACTAGATAAAAAAATTTAACTGAAATGTATTGGTCTCGGGAATACCTATCGATTGGTCCAAAAATTTGCCACGCCCACTCTAACGCCCATAACGCTTAAATCTGTATGCCGCCGGTAGGTGGCGCATTTTAATCTCGCTTTTCTACTTGCATATCTCTATTTAGCTGAGTAACGGGTATCTGATAGTCGAGGTACTCGACTATAGCGTTCTTCCTTGTTTGTTTTGATTTTTCTAATTTGCATTGTTAGGCCGGAACGGCTTTGTGCCTGAAATTTGAATTTCAGTATCAATTTCAGTACCAATATAAAGAGGTTTATGTTATTAAATAGGCTGTGTTGTGAAACGTTGTTAGAATTTGTTATTTAAAAAAAAAGAAAGGAAGTTAGCTTCGGCATGCCGAAGCATACTTGGCTGTAAACTAGTGTAATTAACAAACAACCAAAATCCCATTTACAGATTTAAATATCTGTGGGCACTAGACAGCCCAGTCGGACCTGAAAAATGTACATTTTTCCTATGGAAAAGGGCTGCAGGTTCACATCCCCATCATGGACAAAGTCCAATCGCTTTTATTAAGGCTGTCCAAAATTTTCAGTACTGAAACGTTCGCAACCTCTTTACATAGGAAATTCGTATGGAAAAAGGCCAGGGAAATTCAGATAGTCTCATTTTTTCGGGGCCTGAACCCATGAATTTCCCTCGCCTTTTACATAGGAATTTCCTATGGAATTGGATATGAGAAATTACTATGGAATTGAATATAGGAAACTCCTATGGAATTGGGAATAAGAAATTCCTATGTAATTGGTAGGGAAAATTTCTTCGAAATTGCCTCAAAACCAATCTCAAAATAAATTAGTTTAAAATTTATTTGTTCTTCAAAATATATGCTAATATATGCTTTATTTAACTAGTTTTTTGATCTACATCAAAAATTAAAAACTAATACGGAACTTTTGGGCACTAAAAATGATGTTAATCCTTTTTGTTTATTTTTTTGGTCCTGGCGGCATCCTTGCTTTTTGCCTTTTGCTTCGCCTCACGGACATTTTTGGTGTAGTCTTTGAAGCTAGCGCCGTCAGACCTGGTGGCTCTGTAAAATATATACAAAATGTAGTAAAAATAATCTTTTTAAAATATATAATAATACTATATTACAATAATATAATTGTTAGATTAACCATTGTTATTTTCTATCAAACTATTCCGAGCCCAAACCAAAATATTTGTAAACAAAACAAATTTACAAATAAGTACATATGTACATACATATACAAAAACAACGGCCAAACTCGCTACTGGGGCAGGCTCCGCCGGTAACACAAATAGATTGATTTGCGCTCGCTTCTAAGGGATTATTTCCCCCTGAAATTGTCCTATGGAATTTCCTATGTACACGAGCAGCGAACGCTTCGTAGAAAAAATTCCCCCTGAAACCTCCTGAAAAGGTTCATGTGGTGCCAACCCCTAATTTTTTCCTATGGAAATTATTGTGGAATCAAGCACCACATGCCTGACGGTCCGACTGGGTGATCTTAGCATTATGGCCGTAAGAGTGGGCGTGGCACCCTGTTGATATACGGATGCGCTGCGCAAGAATTTCAAGAACCCACATGCCAAATCCGAACATTCTAGGTGTTATAGTTTTTCGTTCATACGGACGGTCGGACTGATGAACATGGCTGGATCGATTCGGGTGGTGATCCTGATCAAGAATATATATACTATATAGGGTCGGAAACGCATCCTTCTACCTGTTACATACTTTCCCTTTTACTCTACGAGTAACGGGTAAAACTATCAGACACCCTATCAGCTAAAGAGAAAGCGCCACCTTTCGTTCATTCTTATCAAGATTTCACTAACCGCACAACGTGAAACTTAGGTTCAAGGACTTCCAATTAAATGCAACGCGCACCTGAGGCTCCTCCGTCTAGTGCTGGCTTTGAACTACTTATCTCCCGTATTGACCAGATGATGTCAATGATGATGAAAATGATAAAGATTCTTACCGGCCGTTTGCCTTCTGATGCGTCTAAGATCAGGAGACATGTCTAATTTTGGCATTCGTTTCTCATTTCGGAACGCCAATGGCCTCTCTGGCAAAAGTCTCGAGTTAGAGCACTATAATACCGATAATTTAATTGATGTAATGATAATAAACGAAACGCATTTCAACACCCGCTAACATCTCCGAATTTTTAAATATGATTTATTGACGGCCAAATATCCCTCTGACCGTCTTCGAGGAGGTGCTGATATTTTAGTCCGCTCTCACTTGCAATATTCCTCGTACAGTTCAAAGCACCGTCCTATGAGATATAGTGATTCCTTTTATTAAGTGACCCCCACCATTTCAGAGTCAGCTCAAGACTTTGGACAACCTTTTAGCGAATTCTCAAACCGTTTTATCATAGCTGGTGACTGGAATGCTCACAATCAATTTTTGTGTTGTAGGCGCACTTCACCGAGAGGTGTTTAGCTTTTAGACCATATTACGTCTTCAAGTCTTAGCTTCAGGAAGTCCAACGCACTTTCCTTCTGATGCAAGGAGAAATCCAACGGCAATTGATTTTGCCATATATAAGGATATTTCGTCCAACTTTCTAACAGTACATGAATCACATGAACAATGTTTTGATCAACTTCCGCGTAAAATACTTTAATGCGTCGCTGTTTCACTCCAACTTATAACACCAAGGCTGCTTTTTCGCCGGGCTAATCATCTTACAATCCTTATTGAGAATGATAAATCTGCTGATCTGAGTTGTCCTCTGGATTTTGATGCTGCTGTTTATGATCTTACTTTACCGCTGCCGTATACACTGCTAACGGTAATCACTCTGCCGTTCCGCAGCTAAATACACCTTTTAAATCCTGGAATAACGACTCTGGTTAGGCAGAAGAGATCACTACGGCGCCGCTTGGTGCAAAC